AGGGGCTAGAGAAGAGCAAGCCTCTCTTAAAATGTCAATTTAAAAAGTTAACAAAAATTTCCCAAAAATTCCCCAAAAAGGGCAACCTTCCAAAAACCTCTGAAATTGAGACATCTTCAATTTTGAGGGACTAGAAGTGAGCAAGCCTCTCTTAAAAATGTCAAATTTTAGGGATTAACAAAAATGTCCCAAAAAGTAAATTTGAAATTTATTTCTGAGGATCCTTACAACCATTTTGTGCAGCCTTCAATTTTTTTTCTTGGGAAATTAAAATTTTTTTTTTTTTTATTTTTTTTATTATTATTTTTTTTATTTTTTAAAATTTCCCTTGGAAGCGGAGGATTTTTGAGAAAAAAAAACTCCAACTGAAAATAACATTGGACAAAGGACATTTTCCAAAAATCTCTGAAATTGAGACATCTTCAATTTTGTGGGGTCTAGAAGTGAGCAGACCTCCCTTAAAATATCAATTTTGAGTGTCAAAAAAAAAAAAAATCCCTAAAAATTTCCCAAAAGAGAAATTTTCCAAAAAATCTCTGAAATTGATTTCTGAAGATCCTCGATGACTTTTGGAACCGTTTTCAAAAAAAAAAAAAAAAAAATTGGAAATAAAAATTTCCCTTGGAAGAGAATTTCGCCTTGGAGAAGGGGGATTTTTGAAGAAAAAGAAACTCCAACTGAAAATAACACTGGGCAATACATAAAATTTTCCCAAAAAGGACATTATCTGAAAGAGTTATTCAAATAATTTTAAGAAAACCTAATTATCCGAACCCATTGAAAGAACAATCAACCTTACCCGAATACTGGGGAAGAATTATCATCGATATCCGAATAGTCTAGAGGCATTATCCGAATAGTCTAGAAGCATTATCTACATTATCCGAATACATCAAAAGCATTATTCAAATTATTCGAACACTGTATAGAGCCATTGACCATGTTATCCGAATATTCTGGAATCTTTATCCACCTTATCCGAACACTGTAAAAGCTTTATCCACAATATCGAAATTCTCTGGATGCTTCATCCACATTATCCGAATACTCTGGAATATTTATCCACTTTATCCGAACAATGTAGAGGCTTTATTCACATTCTCCGAATTCTCTGGATAGTTTATCCACATTTTCCGAACACTGTAGAAGCTTTATTCACATTATCCGGATACTCTGGAATCGTTATCCACTTTATACGAACATTATAAATAATTTATCCACATTATCCGAAGACTGTAGAAGACCTATCCACATTATCCGAACATTGTAGAGGCATTATCCACGTTATCTGAATAGTCTAGAAGCCTAATCCCATTATCCGCGTTATCCGTGTGACATAAATAGGTTAAAATTAGGCTTAAAATTTTATTCCGAAAACGTATAATCACTATTTATGTTATACGGATAACAAAAATGCTTTATCCGAATTATCCGTTTTATCCAGAAATGCAAAAAATTAACAAAAAAGGCATTATCCGCTTTATCCATGTTATCCAAATGCTCAAAATGTTATTCCGATAACGTATAAACACTGTTTATGTTACACGGATAGCAAAAATGACTTATCCGCTTTATCCAGAAATGCAAAAATTGTATAAACCATATTATCCGTTTTATCCAAAATTGCAGAAATTGCATTATCCTCACTATCTAAGTTGCGTAGATGAAAATGTTGATAATTTTGGATTATCCACGTTATCCATTTTATCCGGAAATGCAAAAAAAATGCGAAAAATTCCATTATCCGTTTTATCCGAACAATATAGATGCTATTCTGATAACATGTAGACACTATTTTTTCATGGAAATGGCAAAAATGTTTTATCCGCATTATCCGTTTTATCCAGAAATGGAAAAAAATGTGAAAAAGGATAAAAAAAACTTTATCCATTTTATCCACGATTGAAGAATTTCCCTTTTCCTATTCCATAAATGCAAAAAATTGCTTTATCCGCGTTATCCACTTTATCCGTTTTATCCATATAGGCAAAAATTATTAAAAAAAAATCATTACCCGATTTATGCAGTTTATCCAAAATTGCAGAAATTTTTATAAAAATCGAATTCAATTGAAAAATTAATAAAAAAAAATGATTATCCGCATTATCCGTTTTATCCGAAATTTCAAAAAAATGTGAAAATTATATTATCCGCGTTATCCACTTTATCCGTTTTATCCATAAATGTAAAAAAATTATAAAAATTGCTTTATCCGAATCTTAAATGATATCCAAAATTGCAGAAATTATTTATCCGTAAAAATCGAATTTAGCTCATTATCCTAGTTCGGAAAAAAATGATTATCCGCATTATCCGTTTTATCCAGAAATGCAAAAAAATATGAAAAATTACATTATCCGTATTATCCGAAGAAAATAAATGCTTCTCGGTTAACAAATAAACCACATTTTCTTCATGGAAATGGCAAAAATGCTTTATCCGCATTATCCGTTTTATCCAGAAATGTAGAAAATGTGAAAAAGGATAAAAAAAACTTTATCCATTTTATCCGCGATTACAGAAATTCCCTTTCCCTATTCCATAAATACAAGAAATTGCTAAAATTGTTTTATCCGCATTATCCACTTTATCCGTTTTATCCATAAATGCAAATAACAATGACAAATACATTATCCGAATCTTGAATGTTATCCAAAATTGCAGAAATTATTAAAATAATCGAATTTAGCTCATTATCCTAGTACGGAAAAATAATAAAAAATATTATCCGCCCTATCCGTTTTATCCAAAAATGAAAAAAATGCGAAAAATTATATTATCCGTGTTATCCGAAGAAAATAAATGCTTCTCGGATAACATATAAACAACATTTTCTTCATGGAAGTGGCAAAAATGCTTTATCCATTTTATCCGTTTTATCCAGAAATGAAAAAAAAAATTTATAAAAAATGCTTTATCCGTTTTATCCAAGACTACAGAAATTGCCTTTTCCTATTCCATAAATGCAAAAAAATTGCTAAAATTGCTCTATCCTCATTATCCACTTTATCCGTTTTATCCATAAATGCAAAAAATTATGAAAAAATCACTATCCGAACCTTGAATGTTTTCCAAAATTGCAGAATTTTTTATAAAAATCGAATTTAGCTCATTATCCTTGTTCGGAAATTTTAAAAAAATTATTATCCGCATTATCCGTTTTATCCAAAATTTGAAAAAATTTAAAAAATTGTATTATCCTCATCATTCAAGTTTCCTGAAATGCAATAACGCGGATAATAATATTTTTACTCATTAAATGTCATTATCCACATTATCCGCATCATCCGTTTTATCCGAAATTTAAAAAAAAAATGTAAAAATTGCATTATCCTCATCATCCAAATTTGTAGAAATGCAATAATTGAGCAAAAAATGTCTTTATCCGCGTTATCCACTTTATCCGTTTTATCCATAAATGTAAAAAATTATAAAAATTGCTTTATCCGAATCTTAAATGATATCCAAAAATGCAGAATTTTTTATAAAAATCGAATTTAACTTATTATTCTAGTTCGGAAAAATAATAAAAAATATTATCCGCATTATCCGTCTTATCCAAAATTTCAAAAAAAAAAAAAATTAAAAAATTGTATTATCCTCATCATCAAAGTTTGCAGAAATGTAATTACGCGGATAATGATATTTTTACTCATTAAATGTCATTATCCGCGTTATCCACATTATCCGTTTTATCCGCTTTATCCGAAATTAAAAAAAAAATGTAAAAATTGTATTATCCTCATCATCCAAATTTGTAGAAATGCAATAATTGAGTTAAAAAAAATGCATAATCCGCATTATCCACATTATCCGCATTATCCGTTTTATCCGAAATTTCCAAAAAAATGTAAAAATTGTATTATCCTCATCATCCAAGTTTCCAGAAATGCAATAATTGAGCAAAAAATGTCATTATCCGCGTTATCCACCATTATCCGTTTTATCCAAAATTTCAAAAAAATTGAAAAATTGTATTATCCTCATCATCTAAGTTCCCAGAAATGCAATAAATGAGTTAAAATGACATTATCCGCGTTATCCACCATTATCCGTTTTATCCATAAATGCAAAAAATTATGAAAAAATTACTATCCGAACCTTGAATGTTATCCAAATTATAGATATTATTATAAAAATCGAATTTATCTCATTATCCTAGTTCGGAAAAATAATAAAAAATGATTATCCGCATTATCCGTTTTATCCAAAAATGAAAAAAAAAAATGCAAAAATTACATTATCCGAAGAAAATAAATGTTTCTCGATTAACATATAAACAATATTTTCTTCATGGATATAGAAAAAATGCTTTATCCATTTTATCCGTTTTATCCAGAAATGAAAAAAAATTATAGAAAAATGCTTTATCCGTTTTATCCAAGACTACAAAAAAGCCTTTTCATTTCAGGTTCAAGAATGAAAAAAAAAATTGCTAAAATTGCTTTATCCGCGTTATCCTCTTTATCCGTTTTATCCGAAATTTAAAAAAAAAATGTAAAAATTGTATTATCCTCATCATCCAAGTTTCCTGAGATGCAATAAATGAGGCAAAAATGTCATTATCCGCGTTATCCACTTTATCCGTTTTATCCAAAATTTCAAAAAAAAAATAAAAATTGTATTATCCTCATCATCTAATTTCTTAGAAATGTAATAAATGAGTAAACAATTTCATTATCCGCGTTATCCACCATTATCCGTTTTATCCGCTTTATCCGAAATTTTAAAAATTTTATTATCCTCATCATCCAAGTTTTCAGAAATGCAATAAATGAGTAAAAAATTTCATTATCCGCGTTATCCACCATTATCCGTTTTATCCACAATGAATAAAAATTGATTATCCGTTTTATCCATGAATTCCAAAAATTTAAAAAAAAAATTATCCCCATTATCCGTGTCTTCAAAAAATTATAAAATTATCCGCTTTATCCATTTTATCCATTTTTTCATTTAAATTAAAAAATAATTTAAAAAAAACTGTTTCTTTTACTCACCTTCCAGCTTCATTCCCACCTCCAGACACTTCTGGAAACGACAGTACGGACACCGTTTGCGCTGCGTCTTGTCGATGTGACAGGAGCGTTCGGCCACACACGTATAGACCTTTTTGTTTTGTACGGTGCGCTTAAAGAAACCCTTGCACGACTCACAGGTGAGCAGGCCATAATGATAGCCGCTCACCTTGTCCCCGCACACAGGACACAACTCCTCGAACAGATGTTTGAAATCTATGACATCCGGCGTGGAACCGCTGGCGGTGGCACTGGTACCGCCGCCACCACCACCACCCATATGCGATACACCCAAATGTGGAGCCGAGGACGAGGTGGCTGGTGGCAGCAGGGACATATAAGTGCCTGAGGCTGAAGAGGCCGAGGAGCCACCATTGCCGCCACCGCTGTTGACGGCTGAATTTTGGGCGGTATTTAGGGTGACGACACCGTTGATGAGGGCCATGCCCCCCGCAGCGGCGGCATTATTTTGGGAATTGCCACCAGCGCCACCGTTGGCGCTCTGTTGTGAATGCGAGGAGGTGGTGTCCTGATAACCTGTGGGGAATATATATTGAGAGTCGATGTTGTAGATATAGGAATATTGAAAGTTGGGATTGTTGGCAATATTTTGTTGTTGCTGTTGCTGTTGCTGCTGTTGTTGAGGTGGTTGTTGTTGGTAGTGCTGTTGTTGTTGCTGCTGCTGCTGTTGGTGATGATAGTGATGTTGTTGCTGCTGCTGGTGGTGTTGTTGATTTTGATTATGTTGCTGCTGCTGCTGCTGCTGATGGCTGTTGTTGTTGTTGTTGCCGGTCAGATGCAACGTATAGCTGTTGTAGTCCTCGGCATTTAGCTCCGTCTCTGCTGCAGCCGCTGCGGCCGCCGCAGCATTGAGCAGCTGCTGATTTGAATTGGAATTGCCAGCTCCCAGCGCTGGACTGGAGGGTTGCTCCTGTTCCAATTGCAACGAAAACGGTGACATATTGAGCGACGATATAAACGACGCCGTCGCTTGTTGTTGTTCCATTTTCAATAACATTTTTTCAAAACATAAATGGAGTTAAGGGTCTGGGCGGTTGGAAATTATTTTTGAAATTCACGATTTTTTTCCTTTTTTGTTGGGGTAGTTGGAACACAAATGTGGTTTGATGTTGCACAGAGAACAATTAACGGTGGCCGTAGAAAAAGAGAGAGAGAGCGACTGAGAGTGTGAGAGTTGCTTGCCTGGTTTGTTTTGATTTTACGTTGTTATTTTTGTGTGTGTGTGTGTTGTTGTTGTTGTTATTGCAAGGCCAGTATGCTTTACGCGAGTGCACTTAGCCCAATTTCAAGGCATATAATTCTCAATGACTTTGTGAGGAAATTTTTATTTTTACAATTTTGCGATTTTTACACTTTTATTGTATTTTAACGGATATTGCAAGGCTTTTCCAAGAATATTTGGGTTGCTGAACTATTTTCCTTTGAAATTATTTTTTTTTTTCAAAGAAATTTTCAAAATAATTTTTTTTTATTATTATTTTAATATAATTAATTTTTTTTTAAATTATTATTTCAATAATTTTTTACATCAAGATTTTTTATTTTATTTTTTAAATTAATTTTTTTGTGTTTTTTTGTTATATTTATTTTTTATTTTTCAATGATATTTTGGTGGTCACTTTTGTTTTGTTTTGGCTTTTCTTTTTCTTTTCTTTATTTTTAGTGTTAAGGCTTATATATTTTTTTGTTTTTATTTATTTTTAAGGCTTAGGATGTGTTTTTGTTTTAACAAAAAAATAAATTTCATGAGGTTTTGGTGGGTTTAATTTTTTTGTTTTAATTTCCGTTTTTTTTTTTTCAAAGGGGGGACGGTAGTTGAAATATATTTATATGTGTATATATCCTTTAAGATTTTCTTTTGTTGATTTCTGGAAATTTCAAGCAAATCTCTTGCACTGTTTTCCTCGGCAGCCAAGAGATTGTCCACATTTTGGCCAAACTTTTTGTCAAGAACAGAGAACAACACGGGATTTTACTGGTTGCAACAAGGCTTGGGGTTAAATATTTTTTTCTTGTTTTAACAATTTTTTTAATTTTTAAATAGAAATCACAACTTTTGTTTTTTTTTTTCGTGTAATGAAAAAATATATATTTTTTATGATTTTAAATATTTTATTTTATATTTTTTTTATTGTTTGCGTTGAGAAAAATTTGTATTTTGTTTAACAGGTACTTGGTTTGCTTTGAAAAAAGGTTTTTGTTTTTAAATATTTATTTTTTTCTTTAACTTTTTTTACAATTTTTTAACCATTTTGTGGAAGATGATGCAGGGGGAGAGTGGTCTGTTTAGACACATGAAATTGTTGTTATTGTTGTTTTTGTAATATTTTTAAACGTTGTTTTTGGAAAACAAAAAATTGGATTTTTTCCAAGATTTAAAAAAAAAAAAAAATATATTTTTTTTTAAATAAAAAAAAAATAATTAGTGTTTTAACACAAATTTTTTGTTGTTATTGTTGGAAGTTTTTTTTTAAATTTTAATTTAATTTTTTAAAATATTTTTATTTTTTTTAATTTTAGTTTTTATTTTTATTTTTTTTCAGTTATTACATATTTTTTTAACTTAATATTGCTTTTGTAAACTTTTTAAAATTATTTTTTAACAAAGATTGTTGTTGTTTCTGTTAAAAAAAATATTAGAAATTATTAGTTTCTTTTTAATTTTTTTTTAAATAAAATTGGGTTTTTATTGATTTTTTTAAAGTTTTAAACAATTGTTTTGTAATCCCAAGTTTTGCACTTTTTTCAAAACTTTTTTAAAAATATATTGAATTTTTATTTTTTTTTTAGAAATTTTGAAGGTTTTTTAAGTTTTTTTTTTTTTTTTTAATAAAAGTTGTTGTTGGGTTTGTTTTTTTCAAAGCTATTGTTGTTTTCAAATTGTTGTTGTTGTTTTTGTGAATATATTTTTTCCGATTTTTAAACAAAATTTGTTGCTGTTGTTGGGTTTATTTTCAAAACTATTGTTTTTTTTTAAGTTGTTGTTTTTGTGAATATTTTTTTTATTTAAACAAAAAAATCTATTGTTGTTGTTTTTGTTTTTATTCGAAATTTTTTATTTAAACAAAAAATTCTATTGTTGTTGTTTTCATTCGAAATTTTTTTCCATCTGTGTTTTCAATTTTTTTAAACCAAAAATTGTTGTTGTTTTTGGGGATAGTTTTTAGAATATTTTTAAAGCCAAGTTTTCAAAATATATTTTTTTTAAACAAAAAATTTATTATTTTGGGATATTTTTGGATTATTTTTTTCAAACTTAATTTTAAAAAAAAATGTTGTTGTTGTAATTTTTATTTATTTATTTATTTTTATTTATTTATTTTTTTTTTTGATATTATTTTGGCCTTTATTTTTAAAATGTTGTTGTTGTTGTTTTTTGTTTGTTGTGTGATTTTTCAGAATTTTTTTCAAAACTTTTTTTAATTATTTTTTTTTTTAATTTTTATGAAATATTTTTTTCATAATTTTTTGTAACCAAAATTGTTGTTGTTGTTTTTGTGGGAATATTTCTTAGACCTTCCTTCCTTTTAAAAAAAATATTTTTTTGGAAATATTTTTATTTATTTATTTTTATTTATTTAAATCAAAAATGTCGTGATTGTTGTTGTTGTAATTTTTTTAAATTAAAATTTTTGGTGGTCATATTTTTAGGCCTTACTTTTGAAAAAAATTTTATTTATTTATATTTTTTTCTCTTTCAAATCAAAAATGTTGTGGTTGTTGTTGTAGTATTTTTTTTAAACAAAAATTGTTGTTGTTGTTTTTGTGGGAATATTTTTTTAGAATTTTTTTTTCAAACCTTTTTCTTTGAAAATCACTATTTTCTTGATATTGCACTTAAAATGAACTTTGTTTTATTTGTTGTTGTTGTTGCTGTTGTTGTTGGGGGGAAAAGTGCTAAGCCATTTTTACAATAAACATAATCCTGGGGCTGTCATTGTAAAGTCAGAACTTAGACACTTTTTGTTGTTGTTTGTTTGTTTTGGAATTTTTGTTTTTGGGGTTTCCGCAATTTTCCGTTTTGAGATTTTTTGTTTGTTTTATTTTTGAAATAATTGTTTTATTTTTAGTTATTGTTGTGTGTGATTTCTTGTTGTTGTTGTTGCTGTTATATCCATTAAGTGATTTTTTTTGTTGTTGCTATTTAATTTAATGATTTTTTTTTGTTTGTTTCTTGCTTCTTTTGCTATTTTGTTTTATTTTCGCCGAAAACACGACCAACATCAACCACGTATCTCGATTGACTAAACCCAAGTAATGGCGAGGATACCCGCAATACTCTATGGCCACGACGGCGTAAGCTCTGTCTGCGGAGACGTAAACTTCAACGTCTGCAACGGACCAGCTGCCCTCCCCCCGCATCCGCCCCTCGCCGGGAACGGAAAAAAATCTCAAAAAATATTGTTCGAAAAACCCAAAACTATGCTGCTAGAAAGACGCCGACGCCGCGGCCGGCAGAGCCGTTGGCTGCTCTTCTTTGGCCCCAAAATGAAAATGAAAATGAAAACGAAACTGAACAGAGACTATGCCAACAAATGTGAGCAACACTAGCAACAACAAAAATAATGGGCTCACGATTACGTAGTATATTCTGTAATATAACATATACAACTGCTACCCTACCACCCCATCACCCCTTCTCAGTATGGCCACACACAATAGCAAGCAACACAGTTAAGCTCTTAAAAACCAACGAATTTCATTTTCATTACAACAACAACAACAACAACAACAGGAACAACAACAAAAAAGTTTCACTTTCATTGGCCGGGCCTCTCACACGGCCACAACAGCCATTGAGTCATTGTGGGGAGAAGCCCACCATCATAATAACATAGCCAAAGCACACACACCACACCACACACACAGCCATCAAAGAGCATTATTTCAAAGAGTAATAAAGCGCTCTCCCACTCTCTTCCATTAACAACATCATCCACACACACAGAGCAAAGCCCCACACAACGGAGTCATACGCCTCACTTTGTTAGTCTCTGTTTATGTTTCCCCCACCATTGAGGAATAAAGGTGGCTGAGTGAGTGAGAGAGCAAGAGAAGGTATGTGTATGTGCAAGAGTAAATGGCCATCTCTTTACCATGGAAATACAAGCAAAAGGGAAGTTCACATAATTTTTGAAAGCGAAAGTGAAACTTGGTGGGCAAATATTATGAAATATCAAAAGGAAAATTATTAAGGCACAGAGAGAGAAAGAGAGGGAGAGGCAGAGATAAAGAGCCTACATAAAAACGGCAATACAATTCTCTTTAAATGAAATGAAATAAAAAGGGCACTTTTTCAACCAAAAAAAAAAAAAAATAAAAATAAAAATAAAAGCAAAAAACGGGAATGGTGATCATGGAATTGCAGTAATAATCGGCATTTGGTGGAAATGTTGTTGTTGTTTTTTGGTTATGTTGTTGGAATAGACAATGCAAAGCCCAAATTCAAGGGAGTTGGGGGGGATTTGGAGGGGAGGGGTGGAGAGCTGGTGTTTATGTTTTGCTTTGCCATTATT